ATTGTTGTAATCATTGCATAAATTGTTCTTCACGTTCTGCTTTCAGTCTGCATAAGTTCATACAAGGCTTTTCAGGTTTCTTTGAATTTGTCGTGTTCATCATTTCTTCTGGAACAGTAATATTCCATTCCAGTCTGTAATGTGGGAGCTCCTCAGCTCCAGCCTCTATCATGTTTACACTGGATCTGGCCAGACCGAAGGATGACAGTGGAGGGTTATGTTACTTTATTCTTGCAACAAGGAGTTATATCACTTTATTCTTGCAGGGGCTGGCAAGGCAAGGGGTGGAAGCATTTGCACTTTCACTTTATTCTGGCAGTGGCTGGTGAGAGGAGGAGTAGGAGCATCCCCCTTACAACATCTGTCTGTCTTTTTGTTATCATGGCTGCTGATGAGACAAGCAGGGAACATCCACCTTTAGTACAGCATCCACAGCCACACTTTCACTTTACTCTCAGTGGGGCCAGCTGAGACAAGGAACAGGAACATCCGCACTTACTGACCACCAGTGCTCATTTGATAGATAGAGAAGCACACAAAGAAGGCATCATGCCAACAATAAGCTCATAAGTTTACATTATCTGTGGTTACATAATGATGTATCAGCACGGAACAAGCACAGTGTTGGTGTTTATGGACCAAACTCCTAAGTTTACATTAATGGTTACATAGTGGTGTGTCAATACAGAACAAGCACAGTATTGGTATTTATGGGCCATGGATCCTGGCTGCCTGTATTAAATTGGAACCATGCCACCTTACATACATAGTCATATCTACATTTTGTTTAATCATTCCTCAGTTGTTGGACACCCACTTGGTTTCCAGTTCTTTATACAACAACAAAAAAAGTTGCTATAAATATGCTTGTATTTATGGCTCTTTCCCCTTTGTCTTTGACCACTTTGGGATATTTGTTAAGTAGTAGTATTATTAGATCAAAGGGCATATATAGTTTAGTGACTTCTGGGCTATAGTTTCAAATTGTTTTCTAGAAATCCAAATTGAGTTGGCCCAATTTGTAACTTCACTGACTATACATTAGTATGCCTGTCTTCTCACAGTCTTCAATTTTTGTCATTTTTTCCTATCTGATGGTTGTGAGGTAGGACCTCAGAGTTTTAAAAATTTGTATTTCTCTTATTGATAGTGATTTGGGGCATTTTGCTTGTGTTTTTGATGTTCATCTTCTGTTTCTTAGAATTACAAAACTGAATGCTATTAAAAACCATGAAGGTTATCTAGTGCAGCCTCATTTTAAATACAAAGAAGTTGAAGACCAGAGAAGTGATTGATCTAGTGTCTCACACATAATTATTGACTGAGTCTTGATTAATACATATACATAAATCTCTTAATTACTTATCTAGTATTTTCTCCACTGTATCATGATGTTTGTTATAACTTTCCAAATTTGAAAATCATTGTCCTTGATAGAGCAGATAGAAGAAAAATAGGAATTCAGTAGTTATGTCTTTTCTTTTTTCATCTCTTAATACTAGTCCAAGCAATGGGTCTTCTTCTTTCTCAAAACATAACTTAAAAATCAACCTTTTTAAAAATCTTTTAGTCTTAAGTATAAGGATGGGTCTTTGATGATTTAGTGGCATAAGTTACAGTCATCTCATTTGGGAGGGTAAGGAAGTTTTAAATGGTATGCATATGCTTACCCTTCCCCTTTTTCTAACATGCCTAAATAGACACATTTGTTATCAGCGTACTCATTCATTTATCTGCCAAATATGTCAAATATAAAATCTCCAGATACTTTTTGTGATGTTTTCATTGTATTTTATTACCAAACCTCATAATTAAACTGAAACTGCTGTCTCTAAAGTTACCAGTGATTGTTCAGTTGCCAAATCTAATGGCCTTTTCTCAGTCCTGATCCTCCCTGACCTTTCTATAACTTTGGCACTGTCAGTAACTATTGTCCTTCATATTCTTTGTTCTCTAGGTTTTTGTGATGCTGTTATCCCCTGGTTCTCTTTCTAACTCTCTGACTGCTCCCATTTTTTTTTCCTGGATCTTCAGCAAGGTTTTACCTGACAGCTACTGTTATCATCTCTGCAGATGATCCTCAGTTCTTTTTATCACCAACGTCTCTCTTGACTTATAGTCTTGTATCTCCAACTACCTCTTGGACATCTCAAATTGAATGTCTCATAAACATCTTACACTCACTTCATCCAGAACTGAACGTTTATGTTTCCCACAAACCCTGTCCTTTTCCTAACTTTCCTATTACTGTCAGGATTACCACCATCCTCCCAGCCACCCAGGCTCACAACCTAGGTGTCATCCTCAATTCCTCACTCTCTCTCTCTCTCTCTCTCTCTCTCTCTCTCTCACACACACACACACACACACACACACACACACCCATCCAATCTATTGCCAATTTCTCTTGATTTTACATTGTAATATCTATCACATAAGCCCCTGTCTTTCCACTGAAACTACCACCATACTGGTGCAGATCCAACCTCCTCACCTCATGCCTATACTCTTGCAATTGTTTTCTTGTTGGTTTCTCTGCCTCTAATCTCTTCCTACTCCAGGCCTGCACTCAGCTGCTAAAGTATTCTTCCTAAAGTAAAGATATGACTATATTATACACATCCCCAATTCATTAAATTTCCACGGCTGCCTATTACTTCTAGGACCAAATATAAAATCCTTTGTTTGGCTTTTAAAGACCTTGATGACCTGGCCCCTTTTTATCTTTCCATATAACTTACTCCCTTCTACTTACTCAGTGATCTAGTGACACTGGCCTCCTGGCTGTTTTTTGTTTGACATTCTTATCTTCTGACTATACATGTTTACTGTCTGTCCCCAGGAGTGGAATCCTCTCCTTATCTCTGTGTCCAAATCTTAGTTTAAATCCCATCTTCTGCAAGAAGCCTTTCTCAATTTTCCTTAATGCTAATAACACCTCCCCACTGAAATTATCTCCAGTTTATCCTGTGCATACCTTGTTTGGACATAGTTATTTCTATGCTTTCTCTTCCATTAACATGTGAGTTCCTTAGAAGCAAAGACAATCTTTTGCCTTTCTTTAGGTCCATAGTGTTTAGCACAGTGCCTGTCACATAATCAATGCTGTTGACTTGACATGTGCTCATTTTATCTATAGTGGATGAATGAAGAATACTTTTCTATGGAAGATAGAGTATATATAAACAAATAGACATATTACTAGGGAAGTTTTTCTGAGCAAGAATTTTTATAATAGTCTAAGGGAAGCATGATTTGAAGACATAGAGCAAAAAAGTTGTCTGTGAAGTATAAATACCCAGTTGCCATGGGACGGAAAACAACAAATAATAAAATTAAAAAGTCTCATTAAATAATACTGCTTATCAGAATTTGATATAGGCTCTAGAAAAAAGGCAATAAATGTTAACACGCACTTGAAAACAAAGGAAACTCACATCAAACCACGTCAAAACGTTCCTGCTCTGTGCTTTATTTAACCTGGAAAAATAAAAAGGAATTCTTGCCTTCTCTCCAGTACTCTTCCTTGCCCCAGGACCACCACCCAGACCTGTGACCCAGATCCATGCAAGGGCAAAGCAAGAGAATCTTGTACCAGCAAAGAGATCCCTGCAATCCCCTCTGATCAGTCACTCAATTCCCCCTCAATCTGTGGGCCGGAAGCTCAGGAAGCAGCCACCGCCCTAGGGCCTCGCTTGGGGACTGGGGCTGGGACCACGCTTCTCTTTCTCACTGTAGTCGCGGACTTTTCCTGCTGACCTTCTAAGTTGTCTTTGGTGTTTGTGGGTTAAGAAGTCTGGAAACCACCACAGATGCCCTCGATTCAGTCCTCTGAGGCCTGCTCCAGGTTTGCTGAGGCCTGGTTTGCCTGCGTGCCCATGCTGAACTGCACTCCTCTCCCCGCCCGGCACTGTATACCTTTCAGATCAACCTCCAGGCTGTCTTGGACTATAAATTTGTTTCACCTAGTCTTTTTGTGAGTTCTGCTGCTTTAGAATTTGTTTAGAGCTATTTTTTACAGGTATTTGGAGGTGTTTGGGGGAGAGCTCAACAAGTCATTGCTTTTACTCTGCCATCTTGGCTCTGTCCCCCCCCCCAACAACCTTTCTTAAGTGCCTACGATGTGCTAGGTGTCATATAGGCACTGAGGTCACAAAGACAAAAACAAAACAATCTCTACCTTTACAAAGTGATGCTATAATCAGATAGGCAACATAAACATATATTGGTAAACATAAAACACATACAAAACAAAAGATGCAAAATAACCTGGGGGAAAAGCACTAAGTAGCTGGATCAGACATGCCAAAGGTGGTAATGAAGCTGAATTCTGGAAGAGACCAGGGAGGCCAGTTTGACTGAACAAAGTGTATAAAATGGAATCATGTACTGAGGCAAGAATGGTAAGATGAGACTAGGTTATAAAGAGCTTTAAATGACTCACAATTCATATTTCATCCCAGAATTCATAGGGAGTCACTGGATTTTTTGAGTTGGCAAGAGTGACATGGTCAGATCTGTACCATAGGAAAATCACTTTGGCATTGTATTAAATATGACTTCTCTAGGCCTCTGTTCGCTCATCTGGAAATTAAGGGATTGGACTAGATAACTTATGAAATGCGTTCTAGCTCTAAAGTGTAGTGTCACTTTGTTAACAAGCTATTTTACTTTTAAAGAAAATTTTTTTATAAATTTTATTTTAATTTTCAATGGGGAGAATTCAGATATATGATTAAGAACAAAAGAAAGGAAAGACAAGTAAAAGCAAGAACAAAACAATGAAAAAACTACCAAGCTTTTTCAGTGTGAAGGATACTCAGGGATCTGTAAATAAAATAATTTGTTAAATGCAGTGATGCTGTTTGTTAATACTTGAATAGTAATTTGCATTAATAAAATTGTCACCATTATTAGTTGTATCCTTAGATATTATCAGTAGTAACTTCAGAATCATTCTGTGATCTTAATTTAATGTTCCATTTGTTTTCTCTTAATAGTATACAATGCTGTCAGGACAGGTTCCATTCCAGTCTCATGACAAAAGTTTAACTACCAGTGCAGTAGAAATCATGAAAAAAATTAAAAAAGGTGATTTCTCTTTCGAAGGCGAAGCCTGGAAGAATGTATCCCAGGAAGCCAAAGATCTAATTCAAGGTAAATAGGTTTTGATTTTTTAATATTTTATTAGGCTTCATGATTATAATTAAGTTGTAAGTACCTGTATATACTTTTTTTTGGCCAGGAAATCAAGTATATTCTTTCAGTTCTCAAGACTATATTCACTTAAGTTTACAGTGCGATCTTTTTGTAAACATTAATTATTTTAGAAAAGAGGATCAGTGGAAGAGACAATTAGGAGGAATCATTAACCCAGTGCTGGATCATTTTGAAAAAACTAAATTACCTAGGAGAGAACTCTCTGTTTGATGAGAGTTTCTGGGAAAATTGAAAAGAATTCTGACAGAAATTAGACAAAGAAATAAAATCGTAAAATAAACTCAAAATGCATATGTGAATTGAATATTTAGGATCATAACATAAAAAGGAGAATCAGGTATCTTTCATAGCTATGGCTAGGGTGTGAATAATTAAGCAAAAAAAGGGATAAAAATAGTTACAAAATATAAAAAAAATTAATTTTTATTACATTGAAATGCTTTTGCAGGAATAAAACTAATGTAACTAGGAGAAGAGGGAAAAGGTTGACTGGGGGATAAACCTTTGCAACAAATATATCTGATAAAGGTCTGATATCTAATAAGTCAGCTGGCAGAAATATGTAAGACCAAAAGCCATTCCCTGAGCAATAAGTGGTCAAAAAATATGAACAAATCATTCATAAAAAAAGAATTACAGTTATTAACAATCCTGTGAAAGGTTACTTCAAATCACTGATAATAGTAAGAATGCAAGTTAAAAACAACTTGGAAGTTTCAGCTCAGATACAGAAAACTGACAGAGGTGACAAAAGATCAGAATAGTCAGTGTTGGAGAAGCTGTAGAAAGACAGACTCTGTTGGGGGAGCTATGAATTCATCTGACCATTCTGAGAAGTAATTTGGGAGAACAGCAAAGATAGCAGAGTAGGGGGAAGCAAGACAACCCAGTTCTTTCTCACAACAACTTAGACAAAAATTGAGAAAGAGCACCAGACTGAGTAGTGATTGGGAAATCCAAGGAGAAACCTCAGGGGACCATTTTTTCAGTGAGAGTCAGCCCACAGGCAAGTAACTAGGGCAGGAAATACAGTCCAAGGGTGAGTATATAGCTATGTTGTTGTGACCCTAGAGCAGGAACCTAGATTCAGCCAGTAGGCAGAGGGATAGACGAATATTAAATATGGTCACTGCCTACCTAGTCTCTGAGGTTTGTAGGCTCCTAACTCTGGTTTGGGTTCAGGCCAAAAAAACAAAAAACAAAAAACTCTAGGCTTGCCCTGTGAATGGAATTTCAGCAGACCTCATTCCCTCAGTAGGCCTCATTCCCTGTCAGGTAGCTGGGAAAGCAACAGAGCTGTTGGCCAACCCCTGGTCCACAGTGTCTGTCTTCATTACTGGCCTATGGGTTGAATCCTCTCTTGGGATTTTAAATTGCTATTAGGACCAGGGATCAGCCACAGAGCTATGGGCCACCCCCGTTCCCAAACTCTTTAACTCTACCTGCTTAAAGTTTGTAGCTTGAGCCCCTCCTAAGATCCTTGAATAAAGCAGCACTCAAAAACCCAGCAGGAATAACGACAATACAAGACCCAGCATTATCTACAGAAGTGCACAAAGCTTGGCCCTAACACAAATTCCCAATTTGGCAAGTAAGGCTGAAAAATTAGTAAACAAAAACAACAGCAACAATAAAGATTTATGATGGGACCAAGGATGCCCAAGACACAAACCCAGAAAAAGAGAATTACTCCAATCCTAAAAAGCCTCAAAGGAAAACACAGTTTGGCAAGACTGGAAGAAATGAAACAAAAAAATTTTTTTAAAGCCTTAAAAGTTATATTATCAAATGAAAGGGAGCTCTAGAAGAGAACTGGAAAATAAATGAGAGTTCTAAAGAAAAACCTTCAAGAGAGAATTAACAATTTAGTACAAGAGGTACAAAATGTTACTCAAGCAACAGAGTCCTTGAAATTTAGAATAAGCAGAAGTCAGTGACTCCATAAAACATGAAAAAATACTATAATAAATTCAAAAGACTGAAAAATATAGAAGAAAATATTTTTTAAAAAACAATAGATCTAGAAAATAAGTTAGAGAGGAAAAAAAGCTAGGAATCACTGGATTACTTGAAAGTTATAACCAAAAACAGAGCCTAGCTATCATATTTCAAGAAATCACAAATTATTCTAACATCTACGAGAACCAGAGAGCAAAGTGAACATTGAAATAATCCATCACTTCCTGAAAGAAACCCCAAAATGAAAATTCCAAGGAACATCATAGCCAAAATCTAGGTCCTTTAGGTCAAAGAAAAAATACTGCAACAGCAGAATAAAGAATTCAAGTGCGAAAGAGTCATAGTCAGGATCATATATGATTTAGCCACCACTATAAAAAAGTGAAAAGGTTGGAATATGATATTCCAAAAAGCAAAAGATATAGACTGACAGCTACAAATAACTTACTCAGCTGAACTTAATATAATCCTCCTATATATGAAATAAACAGCTTCTAAACATTCCTGATAAAAGAGACCAGAGCTGAGTAGATACTTTGAAATGCAAACACAGGAGTCAAGAGGAACATAAAAAGACAAATGATGATTGAGCAAACAAGAGAGACAGATTACACAAGAAGGAAGTATTTAGATTCTAAGAGGAGGATATGATACAAATGTCCCTTCAGGACCCTTAATATCGTTAGGGAACATAGAAGGAACTAAATAAGACAGAGGTCCTGGAAATGGTTTTGTTACACTTTGTTAATTTTTAAGGAAAGGTAAAATAAAAGGAATATAGTAGTAAAGAAAAAGAGAGGAATAGGGGAAGAATTATCTCATATAATTTGGGTGTGCAGGTTGAAGACTATACACAGAGGAAGGGATGGGGAGGGAACTGATATCATTTAAGTATCATTTTCATCTGAACTGTTCAAAGAATGATGGAACACACGTGGGAGCTTACATACATACAAAAAGAATGGTGTAGAAATATATTCAGCTCAGTAGGAAAGCGGAAAGGAAATGGAAAAGGAAAGAGAGGAATAGGAAGAGCATAGATGGTAGGAGTCAGTCATTTTCAGTCCCTTGTGACCCCATTTGGGATTTTCTTGGCAAAGATACTGGAATGGTTTGCCATTTCCTTCTCCAGCTCATTTTATAGATGAGGAAATTGAGTCAGAGTTAAATGACTTGCACAGGGTCACACAGGAAGTAAATGTCTGAGGCTGGATTTAAACTCGGGTCTTCCTGACTCCAAGCCCACTATGCCACCTAGCTGCCCAAGGGAGGGAGTTGTCATAAGCAAAATAAATTCTAGCATGGGGTGGGAGTTGGGGCGATTTAAAATAGAAGGAAATAGAGGTAAGAACTTTGATTTGAGTCTGAAAGAGAAGATAAGAAAAATGGGATGGGAGTGCAAATTATATCAAACGTAGAGCACTGGTGCTGAGACATTTCTTTTTCGCTACCTTCTTTGTGAAGAGAAAGCTGTAGGGTAAAAAGGAAAAAATTACCTTAAAGTATCATAAAGGAATCAAAGTATCATGGAAATCATGATAGTATTTTTCTCACAAGATTATTGTGAGGATCGAATGGTACTGTATAAATATTAGGTATTACTATTTCCTAACAATAATAATAGAATGGCAGAACGGATTAGAAAGCAGAATCCAACAATATGTTATTTATAAGAAATACACTTTAAAAAGATTCACGCAGTTAAAATAAAGTATAGGAATAGAATCTGTTATGCTTCAGGTGAACTCAAAAAAGCTCGTGTAGCAATCATATTCTCAGACAAGATCACAGCTAAAAATAGATTCAAATAAAAGACATAAATGCATTTTGCTAAAAGGTACCATGAACAATGAACTTATCTTAGTACTTGACATATATGCATCAAAAGCCATGGAATCCACATTCTTAAGGAAAAAGCTAAATGAGTTATAAGGACAAATAGACAGTAAAGTTGTAATTGTTGGGGACCTCCATATAGTCCTTTCAGAGGTAGATAAATCTAACAAAAATAAACAAGAAAGTACCAGATCTCAAACTTTATTGTAAAGTAGTAATCATCAGAACAATCTGATAGTGGCTAAGAAATAGAGTGGTGCATAAGTGGAATAGATTTAGGTACAAAATATACTGTAGTAAATAACCATAATAATTTAGTATTTTATCAACCTAAAGAGCTAAGTTTTGGGGATAGAAACTCACTATTTGACCAAAATGTCTAGGAAAACTGGAAAACAATTAGTTTTCTAACATTACATAAACTGTTTGCAAAAATAGGAAAAGAAAGATCCTACCAAATTCCTTTTATAATACATATATGGTTTTGATACCTAAATGGGAGAGCCAAAACAGAGAAGGAAAACTATACTCCAAATTCTTACTAAATATTGACAATTTTTTTTAATATTAGCAAAGATGCCACAAAAACATTAAAAAAAAAATTATACACTATGACCAGGTTGGATTTATCCTAGAAATGAGGATTGGTTGAATATTAGGGAAACTGTCAACATAGTAGGCCATAGTATTATCAAGAACAAAAAAATTCATATTATTCTATCAGTAGATGAAGAAAGTTTTTGCCATAATGCAATACTCATTTCTACTTTAAAAAAAAAAACTAGGAATAATCAAAGTAAATAGACCTTTCTTTAATGTAGTAACTAGCATCTATCTAAAACAGAGAGCCAGCATTGTTTGTAATAAATAATAATAATAACTAGACTTTTCAAAAAAATCAAGGATGTCTGTTATTACCACTACTAATTGGTAAAGTGCTAGAAATGTTAACTGTAACAGTAAAACAAAAAGAAGTTGTGGGATTAAGTATAGGCAAAGAGAAAACAAAATTGTCACTTTTGCAGATAAGACAATTTACTTAGAACCCTAGAGAGTAAAAAAACAATCGTAACAGTAACTTAAGCAGAGTTGCAGGATATAAAATAAATCCACATAAATCACCAGCATTGTTGTATATTACTAACAAAACCCAGCAGGAAGAGCTAGGAAGAAAAATCCCTTTCAAAAAGTAACATAAAAAATAACTAGGGAGGCTACCTACCAAGATACATGGGAACTATATGAATACAAGTACAATTTGTTTAAAAATTTTATTTCATTTTATTTTATTTTTCAATTAACAAGCACTTATTTTCTTGCCTTTTTCACTTCTGCTGTCCCTTGGGAAAAAAATAAATAAAAACAAAATCCTTATACTTAATATACATAATCAGGCAAAACAAATTGCCACAATAGCCATGTCCAAAAATGTTTGTTTCATTCTGTATCTTGAATCCATCATCTCTGTCAGGAAATGGATAGAATGCTTCATCAGTTGTCCTTTGTAATCTTTGTGGTTCACTGCACTTATCAGAGTTCTTAAGTTTTTCAGAGTTGTTTAAAAAAATACTTCTTATGTAAATAAACACCTAAACAATATGAGAAATATTAATTAGTCATGAGTGGGCTGAATCAATATAATAAAAATGATAATACTACCTAAATGAATTTACTTATTCAGAGCCAGACCAATCAGGCTACCAAAAGATTTCTTTATAGAACAATAAAAAATAATGAAATGCATCTGGAGGAACAAAAGGTAATAAATCTCAAGTGAAAATTGTTTTTTAAATTGGGTCAGAAGGGGGCCTATGAATACCATATCCCAAACTGTACAAAGCAGTAATCAAAACTGTTTGGCATTGGTTAAGAAATAGGTGAATCAGTGGAATAGACTAGCTTCAGCAACACATGGAAGCAAATGAGCAGAGTAGTCTAGTGTTTGCTAAACCCAGAGAGCCCTCGATGGTGGGGTAAATACTCACTACTTGACAAAAATTGCTGGAAAAACTCGAAAGCATTCTGGTAGAAATTAGGTTTAGACCAGTACTTCAAACCATATACCAAAATAAACTCCAAATGGATATACAACTTAGATATTAAAGGATGATATCATAAAAAAATTAGGAAAGCAAGGAAGAAATCACATCTGTGGATAGGGGAAGAGTCTATGACCATTCACGGGATAGAGAGAAGACAAAATGGACAGTTTTCATTATCTAAAATATTTTTTTTTTGCTTAAACAAAACCACTACAGCTAAGACTAGAAGGGAAACAACTGCCAAAAAAATTTTGCAGCAGATTTCTCTGATAAAAATCTAATTTTCAAGATATATAAAGAACTCAAATTTATAAAAATAAGTGGTTTTCTTTCCCCTATTAATAAATAATCAAAAATATATGAACAGGAAGTATTAAAGCAATAAATACAAGCTATCAACAAACATATAAAATGTCGTAAATCAGTAATAATTAAAGAAATGCAAATTAAAATAACTCTGAGGTTTCATCTCAAGTTGGCAAAGATAACCCAAAAAAGTATAATGACAAATGTTGTTGAGGAAATGTTGTGAAAAACAAACATCGGAGGAAAAAGACCCTTTTTAGAGCTATGGATTGGCACAGCCACTCTGGAAAGCAATTTGGCACTATGCCCCCCAGTACCACTAAACCATGCATACTTTTTAACCCAGCTATACTAGTACTACTAGGTCAAATGCCAAAAATAAAAAAGATGATGAGGACACATTTGATTTTTATGGATTTTGTTGTTGTTGTTGTTGTTGTTGTTGTTGATGTTTGGAGGCAGTCAGGTTTAAGTGGCCTGCCCAGGGTCACGTAGCTCATTAAGTGTCTGAGATCAAATTTGAACTCAGATTTTCCTGACTCCAGGGTTGCTGCTCTATCCACTGCACCACCTAGCTGTACCATGGACCCATTTCTGCAAAAATATTTTTTCTTTCTAAACGTTTAAGCAAAAAATTGCAAATAAGAGAATGCTTGCTAAGGGAATGACTGAACCAATTATAACATATGGATGTAGTAGAATACTGTTGTGCTTTAAGAGATCCTGAAAGGGATGGGTTCAAAGAAATCTGGAAAGAGTTATGTAAACCAATTCTGAGTAAGGTAATAACCAGGAGAATTTCTGTAATAACATTGTAAATGTAAGTTTGAAAGATTTAAAAACTCTGATCAGTACAATGACCGACCAGGATTCCAGGGGACCAAAATGAAGTGTGTTAACCCTCCTCCCGACTGAGAACTGATGGACTCACATTGCAAAATGAGACAGACGTTCTTAGACATGCCCAGTGTGGTGATCGGAATATATGTATTTTTTGTTTTCATTGTGAGAAGGCAAGAAAATAAGGGCTTGTTAATTTAAGATAAAATAGTCTTTAAAAAGAAGTTCAGAATTATGTTATGAAAGTGATTAAGATGTCTATGCCCTTTAAGAAATGATTATTATGATAAAGAGAGACAATAGTAGATGCAAAATATAGTAAGGAGAACTAGAAAAACAATATCTACAAAGACTCCAGCAATGTAAATAGAAAGAAAAGCAACAATGAAACAAAACTGAATCCTGTGAAATTATAATTACCAAGCTTGGCCCTGGAGAAGAGTCGCAAAGCTGTATCCCTCCCATCTTTACAGAGGTAGGGGAATGATGTGTGGAATAATGTGCACGTCAGACATAGGTTGGTGGTTAATTGATTTTGCTAAACTGCTTTTTTTCTGAATATGTTCAGCAATTAAGGTGATATAAAACCAAAAGATATTGTTTAAAATTCTTTTAGTGATTTTATGATAGTTGAAAATTCATTTAGTCTTTCTGCATTTTCCTAGGTAACAATTAACTCAATATCACCATTTAGTGTTCAAAGAAGGATTAATTTCAAATCAAAATGTGATGTTTCAGGTTTGAAGACTTGTAGACTCCCTCATGTTACATATTCAGATTTATGTCTAGTCTTAATATTTACAAATTTCAAATGTCTTAGAAATCTTCCTTAACACTAAATATTTGGGGTTTTTTTGTTTTGTCTTATCAGCCCTACTAGACTGTAAGTTCCTTGAGAACAGAACTTCTTTCTATCTTCTTTACCTTTGTATCTCCTCTAGCATTGAGCACAGTACCTTGCACAAAGCCACCACTCTCTGTGTTCAACTGTATAAAATAAAAATACATTATATATTTCTACCAGGACTTCTTACAGTGGATCCCCATAAGAGACTTAAAATGTCTGGCTTGAGATACAATGAATGGCTTCAAGATGGCAGTCAGCTATCTTCAAATCCTTTGATGACTCCAGATATACTAGGATCTTCAGGAGCTGCTGTGCATACCTGTGTAAAAGCAACATTTCATGTAAGGGCAAATATGCTTTGAAAGCAAACTAAAGTTTGGAAAAAGATTATAAACTGATTTTACTTTTAATGTTATGAATGGAATCTCTCATAAATGCAATTTTATAGATAGTATATGCCCTATTTTTTAAATGTTAGATTTATAATAGCAGCTAAAATTTGTGTGGTAACTTCAATATATGTTAATATATGTAGAAAATAATATATGTTTAATGGATCAGATTCACTTCTGGTTCCACAGAACTCTTTATTTGAATATCAAAAGGAATTTCAAAAGGGTATTTTGCTTAACAGTTCCATAATTTTAAGTAGCAAATTTAAATTGTTTATAATATGACTTGCCACAGTGGAAAAAATTCCAGGCTGTTTCCTTTAAAAAACATAAACGTTTGTGTTGAAACTATATAATCTATACAAAAATAAAGCCGTTCCTTCAGTAAGTAGTTATTATGTATATAACATTCTACAAAATGCCAACATGAATACAAAGCAAGTAGAAAATCCAGTACCCATGCTCAACTAGTTTGCTGTCTAGATGGAGAGTCAAGATACACTGTGTGAATGTGTGTGTCTGTCTGTGTATCTGTCTTGTGTCTATGTTTCTCTGTGTGTCCTATAGATATTGCAGTGGATAGAGTGTTGGACCTGGAGTTAAGAAGATCTGAGTTCAAATGTAGCCACATAGGTCACACACTAGTTGTATGACCCTGGGCAAGATATTTAACCTTTTGTTTGCTTCAGTTCCCTCATCTGTAAAATGGAGATAAGAATATCACCCACTTCACAGGGTTGTTGTGATCAAGATGAGATAATATTTAAAAAGCACTTACCACAGTACCTGGCACATAGTAAGCACTATGTAAATGTTGGCTGTCATTATTGTTATTGTTGTTATTAATGAAGAAACTTGATAAATTTTCAGCCTAACATGAAGTGCATGTTATTATGGTAACTAATTGTGTACAAAAGTGCGGAGTGGTAATTCAAGAAAAATCAATGTTGTATGGAAATAGTCAGGAACAAGTAAATACAGTCTTAAGAGGTTTTCTAAGAAAGAAGGAAGACAGTGTTTCCTTTGAGACTGAAGAGAAGAATGAGAGAAGAAAGGTCAGGATAGGGCATGTGTATTGAAGAAAAGAGAAATTCTAGTAGGCTAGCTTTATGTAGGTGGCCTAGATTGTGCCAGCTTCATAGACATAATAGCTGTAGAATAGGGATGAGAGTGGGGGGACAGCTAAGTGTCACAATGGATAGCTCACTGCACCTCAGACACTTGCAAGCTATGTGGCCCTGGGAAAGTCACTTAACCCGGTTTGCCTCAGTTTCCTCATCTGTAAAATGAGCTGGAGGAGAAAATGGTAAGCCACTCCTATCTCTCTGCCAAGAAAACCTCAAACGGGGTCACAAAGAGTCAGACATGACTGAAGATGACTGAACAAAAAAAGCTGGGGCTGGAGACTAAAGGAGAATAGTTTCAGCATAGCTGTGGTGAGGAATTAGCCAAGCAATCAATGAGGGACTTTTTATAATAACCAGGAACAAGTTACTGGGCACAGATTGTTGGACCTGGAGTCAAGAAGACAACATCTTAGTTAAACTGAACTATAATGAAACATAGCTGCTCAGTTTGGTTGCTTGGTGATAAAAATTTCAAAGACCTGATGCCAGTAAAATGGTGGTGTTCTGAATTGTTAGCATTCTCCAGATATTTCTAGTTAATCAATAATTTCCTAAATTGAGTCTAATTGATTTCTTCCATTGATTACATAGAACCCTTGACCTGCACGTTATATTTCAATGGGGGCAATTTTGTTATGCTGCACAACTTTTAAAAATATTCCTCCCATGGTCTACTTTACCATCCTCAATAATATGGAGGTGGTGATTTAAAGACACTTCTTCCTAACCTAACAGGCAAGAGAGTTGTTGTTTCTCTGAGGTACCACATCACACCTATCAGATTGGGCAACATGACAAAACAAGAAAATGATAAATGTTGGAGAAGATGTGGGAAAATTGGAACACTAATGCATTGTTAGTGGAGTTGTGAACTGATCCAACTGTTCTGGAGAGCAATTTGGAACTATGCCCAAAGGGCTATAAAACTGTGCATACCCTTTAACCTAGCAACACCACTTCTAGGTTTATATCCCAAAGAGATCACAAAAATGGGAAAAGGACCCACATGTACAAAAATATTTATAGCCGTTCTTTTTGTGGTGGCAAAGAATTGGAAATTAAGAGGATGCCCATCAATTGGGGAATGGCTGAACGAGTTGTGGTATATGAATGTAATGGAATACTATTGTGCTATAAGAAATGATGAGACTTCAGAAAAAACTGGAAAGACTTGTATGGTCTGATTCTGAGTAAAGTGAGCAGAACCAGGAGAACGTTGTACACAGTAACAGCCATGTTCTGTGATGATTAACTTTGATAGACTTAGCCCTTCTCAGCAATACAAGGATCTAAGACATCTCCAAAGGCCTCATGATGGAAAACGCTGTTCACAAAGAAGAAAGAACTATGGAGTTTGAATGCAGATCGAAGCATACTATTTGCTATTTTTTTCTTCTGTTTTGTTTTGTTTCCTCTTTCTGGTGATTCCTCCTATTGGTTCTAATTCTTGTTTACAACTTCACTAATGTGAAAATATGTTTAATAGAAATGTATATGTATAGCCTATATCAGATTGTGTGCTGTCGTGGGGAGGGAGGTGTGGAGGGAGGGAGAGAAAAATTTAAAACTCAAAAGGTTATGGAAGTGATTGTTGATAAATCAAGATAAATTAATAAAAAAAGAAAAGAGAGTAGTCTGGGAGAGGTAAAAATCAGAAGCAAAACACTTTTGAGAATGGGCAATATAAAAAGAGAGAGTAGGATAAGTAGAAAATAAGAGGGGGGGAAATACATAGTTGGTAATTATTACTGTGAAAAAAAATTTTACAGTGAGTTTCTCTGATAAAGACTTCATTTCTCAAACATAAAAAGAGAGAGAGAACGTTGTTGTTGTTCAGTTGTTTCCAAATCTTTGTGACCCTGTTTGGGGTATTCTTGGCAAAGATACTGGAGTGGTTTGCCATTTCCTTCTCCAGCTCACCTTACAGATGAAGAAACTAAGGCAAGCAGAGATAAGTGACTTGCCCAAGGTCACACAGCAAGGAAGTGTCTAAGGCTGAATTTGAACTCAGGTCTTACTGACTCTAGAGTCTAGGCCCATCACCTACTCCACCTAGCTGCCTGTTTGGAAATCCTCCTAGTCAGGAGGAAGGGAATGCCCAAATGTTGGTTCTTGTCATGACTTACTAGTGTAATCTATATTAACATATTCTTACCCTATCATATGTCATTTTTATTTCCATTAGGCCTTTAACAAGTACAAGAGGGAGGGGTTCTGCCTTCAGAATGTTGATAAGGCTCCTCTTGCAAAGAGAAGGAAAATGAAGAAAACCAGCACAAGTACGGAGACACGCAGCAGTTCAAGTGAAAGTTCTCATTCTTCTTCCTCTCATTCTCATGGTAAAACTACACCAACAAAGACACTGCAGCCAAGCAATCCCGATAGCAATAATCCAGAGACCATCTTCCAGTTCTCTGACTGAAGAATGCCACAACGGTGGGCATGGAGTTGGTGATACACCGCGCCTTCACTTCCCCTGGTTTAGAACTGAGAGATGCTTACTGGTTTAAAAGTACCTGCCATGTCTTCTTACTCTCATTTGAATTCTGCCTTTTAATGAATTTCTTCTAAATAACCCATTTGGTTTGTCCTTGTCCAGTTATTCTGGACACAGTATATTACTGTGAATAGAGCTAGTGTTAACACTGTTTGGAAATCAAGAATAATATCTATCAACAGTACTTTTCTTAAAAGAGCAAAGCTTTCAGTAAATTTAACTAGAGATTTTCCCCAACTGTTTAGCTTTGAGCTGCTTACAAAATATGTCTTAGTTTTTTTAGATGTCTGCTAACAGGAATTGGCCTGTGCTAAGATGACCGTTTGTTTCCATTTTGGATGGCATGGGGTTTAAAAGAAAACTTTGCACCCTTTGCTCAATGACTTACCAGTGAAGGTGGTTGGTTTTTTCATAAGGAATTTGTGATAAATTTAATGTGTTAAATATGTTTGTTTCTTGAGGGAAGGTTTTAACTTATTGTTTCCAGTTTATGGTTACAGATGATGATAACCTATTAATGTAAATCTTTTTCTTTTTAAAAAGGATTAAAAAACATAAGATCCCACAGTATGTGTTTGGGATCCATGTGAAATGCATGTTAAGCTATGTACGTTTTTAATTACACACTGCTCTTTCCTAGCAATGTTTTAATGGTTATTGAAAAATGTTAGGGTACATTTATCTCTTTTCTAAGTCATATTGCACTTTATGAAGGAGTATGATGAAAGAAAGCAGACTGTTTTATAAAGTGCACAGCTTATAGCACATGTACTGTATTTTAACCATTTTTTCCATTATCTACTTTAAATTACTCCTCACATCCCTCTTCTACTTTGTATGCAACAAATAGAATAGGCCTGGCTATATGATGAAATCATATGCCACTTATGCACTGATGTGAGGACAAACTAAAGGGAAATTTTACTAAACACTGTGCTTCATAACTGTACACTGTGTTGTGCTACAGGGAGGGATTTCCTCTTCTGGTAGTTTATTATGTATATAATTATTTTAGCATCCTAAATGTGATTTGTTTTGAAACATTACAGTTGTTAACTTTTAAATATGAAAAACATTTTATAAACTTATGCAGAGCACTTTTATTGCTCAAGTTCTGAACTCATATGGAAATCTTAAGTGCTAACTTTTTGTCTAAGAAGTTTCATTAAGAGCTTGCTGCATTTTAAAATTAAATAAATCCATTCCCTATGCAAAAAAACAACAACAAAAAGGTTATAGGAAGTGTAGATTAGTTTTTATTTTACAGAAATCACAGGGAGTTGTAAGGACTCTGAAAATCAAGATTAGCCACATTTACAAGAATATGTGTAGTAAAGCCAAGACTAAGTTTCTTTTGTGGTTTTAATCAGTGATAACCTTTTGAATATTTGGGAAAGGATTTGGGCATGAACTTACTTTATTTATTACTTTCTTGATGGTAACATCAAAGATAATAGCAGCATTAACTTTAGCCTGATGTGAATACTGAAATATTGCACTGTGTATGTAGTAAAATATTTAATATTAAATCATTATGTAATTGATGTCACTGGGAATTAAATGGCCAACATTGATATTTTCAAAATATTGATATAAATTTTATTCACATTTTCTTCTTAATGATTATTAAGAGTATTTTTTCCTATTTTTGAAAGAGCCCAATGGTTTCATAATTCTTATTGAGTCAGGGATTGTTATTTGTGCACTAGGTATTTAAGGTAATGATGGGAAAGCCTAGAATGAATTACCACAATCCACATATAGTCCACAGAATATGCAAATAAAACCTGAATTTTTAATATTCATTAAAATTCCATTAATATCAAATGTTATTCTATAAGTAGTTTTTTTAACTGTACAATAAAGTAGTAAATATACAGTTGCTGTATAAACCTAAAGGGATTTTCTTGTATAAAGGAAATAGTTAAGAAAAATTTTCAAACAATATGCTTTTGGTAGTGTGGTTGATGCTAGCTTAAAGTGAACATTAGAAAACTGAAAGATGTAATTTTCATTTCTTCTTTCCCCTGTCTTCCTCTGAATGGAAGAGCTTGTAAAGTGATAAAATAAGCAAAAAACCACACGTAACTAATGAGGAAGGAAAGGTTAAGTTAAACCGCAAATTAATAACCCATCTCTTAATCAAGGATTAACTCTGATAAGGCTTCAAATTAAGTCCATAGTAATGCCTCCCTTTTCAAAATTCTCCTTCCCCTAATTATAAATACCAAAAGGTTACTATTTAATGTATTATGCTCTTGTAATTAGCACCATTTAAATTTGGATTCAGACTTTCGTAATATACAATGCATTACATTTTGAAATTCATGCTTTCAGGTTACTAAAATAGAAAACAGTTTTCCTGCATGCAAAATGTTAACATGAAACGATTGTCTTCTTTATCAACAGATAATGAAAATGCATATGAACAAACCAAAAAGAGATATATGACTACCTTTATACCATTAGTGTGGCAGACTGTAATTCCACCTAAATCCACCACTGCCACCTCCCACAGCATTTTTACTGTAGGAATGTACTTGTTTGGGAAATATGTGACTTGACCCATTATAAGTTCTAGTTAATGGGGTACTATTTTCTTTTGAATCTTACTATCAATGATTGAGATATGAATAAAGATGATATTATAGAAAGGAAACAAAGAAAAGATCAGTTTTTTAGCTTTATAGAAATTATGATTCTATTCATCAGTATCCATAAGATGAGATCCTTTTAGGTGAGTAAATGTATATTAGATATTCTAAAATACATGAACTCTTTCAGTTATCTAGGAAATATGGGTCACACCTCTGAGAAAGTACGTTAATAAAACATATACCCATTTTCCTGAAACAGTTAATGCACATCCCAGTATTCCTGCCTTGAATTCCAGTATTAGTTCTATTTCCACTTGAAATTAGTCTTAATTTTAATGCTTCTAGTGTTTCTAAAGTGATTACATAATGAATACATTTAATTATATGAGAAATTATTTTAAAAGACTAGTAGAATTGCAATAACTTTTTATTTACAGAAGACTTATAAAATCTATTTTGAATGTCACATTATTTTTAAATATATTCTCAAATGTTATTTTATGAGAACATCACTTCTCTTTAATGTGTTCTTGTTCACCTCTTTGAGTTAGCTGTGTTAGACATTCACTAGGAAACAGGTTTTTATTGGGGGACCATTTCTAATTTATTGTTCATTTCTGTCACCCAGGATGTGTTAATTATTCAGTGTAGTCTTCTCTTGGCCAGTGATAAGAGAAGATGTTTGTTTATGTAATAAAATTCCTAATAATTATTAACTCCTAAAAAGCTAAGTTTATTTATGATGAGCCACTTAAATGATGGCAAAAATAATTGTCTTGTAGATTAATTCTATTATAGTTTTATTAAATATCTTTTTATTTTTACTTTTTTAATAAATTTGGAAAAGTTATCTTACTAAATCCTATCATATTTCCTTATGATAATTAAATATATCATTCACATGTATATCTTCTTTAGGGAACTGGCTCTTTAAAAAACTAATATAGCAGAAAACTAATGAATCAAGAATTTTAATAGGAGGCAATTTTTAAATTGTAAGGGCTCAAGGGATGAAAAAATAGGGAAAGAAATGTTTGTCAGTTAAAATACTGTAAATATTCTTAACCCAGAGAAAAAAGTCTCTACAACTACCTTGTAGGTTTTATTCAACTATTCATTTTCCTAATCAAGTCCACCTCAAACCATGACATTTCTTAGAAATAAAAGATGTGTCCCCAAAAAGATAGTTTTTTTATAAAGTGCTTTTAGATATGGATTTCAAGGAGAAAGGGGCAGTTTTTTCACCGTAAAAGCACTTCACAAGCCTGATTTCAGTCTTGATCTGTAGTATTTTGTCTGTTGAGCTTTCGCAGGTGATTCCTTCTGGCCTGTTTCCTTCTTTCCATTTGTTTGCTTCCAGTTGTATTTTTTAGCTGGGTGCTTGCCATCGAAATTTGTTTCCTTGTCTAAAGTTGTTTGTCCATCCTGTTTCATGAGTCTGGAAATTGGCCAGCTACCTTTGCTCTGTATATTGCTTTTGTTAGACTTGAGGTAAACATATTTTTTGAACCAAAATCTTAAATCATGTGAAAAGATATAATCCTTTCACAAAACCTCAATTTTTGAAAGTACATTTTTTTCCCTTGAATTTGGTTCTGTCCCAGAAAAACTGGGATGTGTAGTTAGATTATAACAAGTACAGTTAATAAATGTTTTTCCAAAACACTTGGCTTCTTCCTGCCTGGGCAAAGTAGGTGAGTATATGAACAAAAATAATTGATCCTTATGATTTTACTTCCATTTTTACATGACATGTGTAAGAACCCAGATTTTTATGTGTAAGCAACATGTATTTAAAAATGAAGGCTCTTACTGCTAAATACGGAACACTTCTGGTTTGTCATGACTGAAAGAAAATGTTAAAGATTTGAACATGTTAGTGGAATGCTTATATTTTAAAGGTGATTGTAGAGTAGGTTGAATGTGTTTAATTTGTTTCTGCACCTCTGGACACTGTGGCAATAGTATTTTACATTTTGTTAATTTTCTTCTTGTTGTTAAGGCTCCTTTCTGTGCACTGTATTTGATTTTTTACAAAATCTGTCACCTTACCAAAAGTCCATTTTCTTTTTAGATCATCCCTTAAGAGTATTTAGTTTTCCTTTAAAAAATTCCTATCCACTTTTAAGTCATCTTATACTCAACCCCCAAATGTATTTTGAAATTGCACAATTGAAGAAGGAAAATTGGAGTTTTATGAATAGTATTTATGAATAGTTCTTGATTTTCCACAATAGGAAGTTGAACTTCAGTTTGCTGCGAAGAGGTTGTCTCAGTTTTTGGGTTTTTGTTTTTTTGTTTTTTTGTTGTTGTTGTTTTTTGTTTGTTTTTTTTTTTTTCAAAAATAGACATGTTGCTTTGTAGTGTTATCGTAGTTTTTTTTAACACTCCATAAAGCTTTAATAAACCATTTTCTCCAAAGATTTTCAAGTGACCTGTTTCATAATTATTTTTCATCCCACTAAGGAATAACATGGGTACTTTTGACATTTCTCACATTTTATTTCAAGGCAAAAGATTAGTTTAGTAGTCATTTAGACTGGTATGATGCTTTTATTATTATTATTATTATTGTAACTCATGACATTTTGATTTTTTAAGTAGTAATATAAATTTTGGACTTTGAAAACAGACATTTCCCCATCCTAATTAACTCTTTCATATTCATTCTTGTTCAGGTTCCACAGTGTATTTGGATAGATTATTTTCACATCTATCATAAACAAAAAAATCTAGCAAAATTAAAATTAAAGTGTAGAATAGTTTTTGTTTTGATAAATAAGCAGAGAAAATATGTAGGTGCTATTTTGTTGAAAAGGTGTTTTTGTTGCAATCCCCAAATTTAGTAAGTCCTTTTTCCTAAAATATTGCTTATTCTATGAATTTAAGGAAAAAAAAGGTATGATAGAAAACCAAATGAGCATAGATATAGGAATTTTAAGTCAGTTAGAATTTTAATTTGATAAAACCAGTGCCTTTAAACTTCTATTTAAAGCTCTATATTTTCTTAAACATTGCTTTTTTAAATTAATTTTAAAAGAATACATTTTAAATTACTAGAATTTTATTCTATAACTATGTAAATTCTCCCACAACGTTAAGCAAGAATGAGAATGTGATTTTAAATAAACTTTTCCATTCATTATGTCTTAGCAGGATTGTTGGAAATGGTTGGATGAAAGCATTTTTGTGCCCCTTAGACCGCATTGATAATTAAGAGTAAACATATCCATTGTCATTTTTTTTACCACATTTGTTAGATTTTTTTCATATTTATGAGTGCATTTTCTTTTTTCTCCCAACCATTTTTCTGCTCCCCCTACACATTTTAAACTTGTGTCATACACACATTAATTTGATTTTCCTGGTATTTCACTGTAGTGCATTTTCCACTTCTCGCTCCTCTCTGGATTGAACCATAATGCAAAATCTTGAAGAGAGCCTCTTTCTTGAGTTATGGAAATGTAAATCTTAGAATAGAAATGATAATTTATGGACAAGTAAATAACGTTAGAGACAGAAAAATTGGCATGAAGTTAAAGATGGCAGCTTTCCAAAATGGTTTTGAGTTTATTATCTTATTATGAGAGCTCTAGTTAGTTGTTGTCCAAAAAATATGATAATAAAATTTTTTTTAAAAGACATGCATATATAATGGCTACCTAGAGTTTCTATACAGACCCAGTAAAGTGATTGTCTTCTGAGTGGAGACATTTAGGCAACCCTTCTTCACACTCACCTACCTACTAACATTAATCAATGAAAATCAAACCAGGAAGACTAGAGATCTGTTTATTTAGGGACAATCATTTTAATCATCATGATTGATGTGTCGGATATCACTTGTTTTAGAAAGTATAGGAAATAGTAACTGTGTGTGCAATTTTTTTTTATATCTGTTAGGAAAGCACTGTATTTACTAAGTGTGTTATTTCAAAAATAGATTACTCGGTGCTATCTATGTAGAACTTCTTGTTCTAATGGAATA